AAATTCAGGGGCCAGGGCTGCAGTGGAAGTAATTTGGAAAGTTCTCACTTTTTTACCACTATGGAATAAAGTCTTTACTAAGTTTACAGGGGGAAAAGGCAGGGGGTGGGAGGGAAGCAGGGAAAGGATTTGGGGGAAATAAAAAAGCTTCAGCTTTCCGGCCAGCCCTATAAATTACTAGAATGTATGAGTCACAAATAAAAAAAAGTTAATGCCTGTGTTTCCTAGTTAAAAGACAGATCTTAAGCCTTTGGTCTTCTCTGCATCATTAGGTCACATTAAATATGGAGAGACTTGTATGAAAGTGTCACAATTAGACGTTTCTGTGTCCTGAAGGATTCATCTCCCGAACTTCACACAGCAGGATGCAACGTTAGGCTCTTCACTCACATCATTTCCAGTTTCCACTAACAGCGGTTAAAAGCTAGAAGTCCTCGTTAGGCAAAACTATTCTCCAAATGCCAAAATTAGGCATTAAAGGAACCACTGAGATCACGGTTTGAAACTGTTGTGGAAGAAGATAATTAAAGCTGTGACCCAACCCTTAGTGCCTGTCCTAAAGTGCCAGTTTATATAAGAATATTGCTTAAAGTCTCTAGCTTCCCTGATCTATTATTGAACATGTTTCCCTGCCAGTTCAGATGCTAACCCCAGACCTGCAGGGCTGGAGCTGGGAGTCAGAGTTTGGCAAGGAAAGAGGTTTAAGTAACACAGCTTTTATGGGCTAATTGTTTGTAAAACCATAAGTGAACAAAATGCCTGAGCTGCCAGGCAGCCACGAATGTCTTCTCCAAATACATCCCATGAGCAAGAGTTGCCATTTATGTCTTCATTTGCCCTGTACATCTCCTGCATAGATGCCCCATGTCCAATGCAATGTCTGACATGGCTCTACATCAACTTTTTGGTAATTTCTGCAGTGATATCGTGCCCATCAAGGTACATAGGGGGACAGATCTGGTTTTAAAACAACACTAAAAACAACATGTCTAACATCAAGGCAGTTGTGGAAGTGCCCTACACACCTACAAGTCGGTAGGGCAAGTGACCACCTAGCACCTAATAGCTCTCCCAACCACAATGGTTGTTTGCACTTTTTGACAAAATTATATTTTCTACTGAATTCTGAAACAAGATTTATTAAAACCAAGTTAAAAAGCAACAAAAAAAGGAGGGCTACTACATTTGGACATAGAAATGTGCTAATATAATGGAGACTTTCTTTTTCCCCACAATGAAGGGTTGTTGTGAAGCATAGCAAGCTATCTACTTTCTTCTTGATTATCATCTGCAGCTTACAAGGAGGTAATTTAGCTTTGGCAGTCATATTACAAATGCAAGAATAGCCCAGCCAATGCATGTAGATGAGGCATACACTTTAAAGGGTGCTCAACAGGAACATCCTTATTCAGATGCAATAGTTGGTGAATGAAAAGCTCCCATCAAATACAACTTCTGTGCCTTTTCCTTCAGACACTAGGCTTACTTCAAAAGACAGCTTTACTAGCACACTGGAAAGCTACTAATTGTGATGTAAAATAAAGCAAGAAAAATCAGTATTCATTTTGCTCACTGCTGTGATGCAAAGAAGAACATAGATGTATTAGTACCACCAGGCAATCAAGCCCTCTGCCCTGCATGAAAATACCACTCAACTCTCCCATCACCCATTATATATATTTATACCTACCTTAATCACCCGACTTAAGTGAGACTCCTCACATTTAAGACATGATCATGTGCTCTGAGCCAATGTGCAAGTAGCTTGGAGAAGGAAGACCACCAGAAAAGGTAAGTTACCTCTGAAATGCTCTTTTTAACTGAAAAAACAAAGTTCATCTACTTCATTACACCCCTCTCCTGCCTTGCCTTTCTCCTTGCTCTCAAAACAGTGGCTCCTTCCCATCAGAAGATATTTTAATCCCTGAAAAGCCCTGTGAGCCCTAGTTGCCTGGAGCAAGCCAGAGCTGCTGTCACACAAGTGGGAGCAGAGGGACACAGCTAAGCCCATTTTGCTTCCCCAGACAGGCTTTTTGCCCTCACAGAGAGATGCTGCAATTCTCAGCTCCCAGTACTCACCCATCCGGGCTGTGCATGGCACCAAGCTACTGTCACGGGATTTGATAGAGTCATTTCTCCCTTGGCCAGGAACAGGGATTTGCAGAAATGAGGTAGCCACAAAGCAGTGGGTTATGATATTAGATATTTCTGCTCCGCTGTGCACTCCTTGTCTATACAGCACGCACTGTCAGGGCACTTCTATGCAGAGTTTACTTAAATCAGCAGCTAAAGCAGGCGAAAGTTAAGGGAAAAGTTTAGGTGAAAAATCAAGAGCAGCCTCAAGATCAATCAAGTCATGTAAAACAACACAGCTGCAGATGGAAAAGAGCATCCATCTCAATTCCTGTTACAGGAAGGAGACATTAGGTTTAAATTCAATGGTAGGTTTGGGCTCCTAAATAATTTCAGTCTCACTGCCAAAGCACCCAAGTCCTCTTGCCTGCCTAAGCCATCCCGTTGAACCTCACAGTTTTGCTTACTTACCTAATATTGCTGGCCAAGGTCTAGCTAGGTCGTACTTTTAGGGGGAAACAAGTATCCTCGTGCTCGAAGCAATGGGGACAAGAGCAGCTGCTAGCACAGCTGCAGTTTTCAATCATTTAAAATCACTCTGAAAGGTTTAGCTCAAAAAGCAGCTCTCATATCCAGCTGCTTCAGTGGCACCGCTGCCGGCAGCCAATGTCATCAGGGGTTTGGCAGCCTGTCTTCTGCCACCCACACCTTCTCCAGCTCTCAGCCAATAAACAAAACACTCCAAGCGTTTGAAAAGAAGTTGCCAAGTGACTATGGACTTGCTCAGACCTGGATGCACAAGAACAACTGTTGGGGGATTCATCCTACCTCTGCAAAGCCCACACAGGCAGCAGGATGCAGGTTGGCTGAGTGAGCCCTGCAGAGCCCACTGAAATCTGCTCTGCACAAACCTATGACAACGACAGAAAAGCTCCAAGGAAAGGAAGATGCCATAAGAATAAAGAGGGCTTAGAGTACAGATGCCTTGCCACTGTTCTGAGTCACTTCAGCCACCCTCTCAACCTCTAACACTGGTTCTTCCCAGTGGGGAAGCACTGTTTGTATTAAAAAAAGGGAAGCACTTCATGGTCATTGTTTTGAAGAGGGAGCCTGAGCTCATAGCTCATCTGCCTTTCCCAAGGATATCAACCACTCACATCAGCATTCCCCTCAAAGCTCAGTTCTTTTGTTTGAGAGCAACCCCTCTCCCTGCTCTAGAAGGTGCATGAGGTCCCCATAAAAAAAACTCATAAGTCATGGGAATATTTAGATGAAACTTAATTAAATGCAACTGAGTTCAACAGCAGAACTGGACTGGATTTCCAAGGTTGCTACCATTGCTACTTGCTGCTGTTTGCAATTCTCTGGACACTTATGCAAGCCCAATTCCCAAGCTTTCACACAAAGTTCTGAACTGCACAAGAGCAGAGCGTATCGTTATGTTTCTGATCCAAAATCAGCTGCCTAAGTGTTATCTTCCTTCTCAGATGCAAATATATTCACATTATATCACATATATTTACACATTTGTAGGTTTACATCATGTGGCCAGCTGTTTCAGTATGAGGAAGAGACTTCCCACACTATTCATAGCTGGAAGCTGAACAGGAACAGTTTAAGGACCATGTACAGCTTCAGTCCCAACTGGATCTTTTCTGCTTTGCATCATCTTTCCAGCCTGATGGAATGTTTTAATTACTCAGCAATGTTTCCAGTTTCCTAATAACCAAAACTGTAGGAAACTGCAGATACAGTGACTTTCTTCCAAAGATTGTGTACATGGCCCATTAGAACACCAGGAGATACTTGCTGACTATTTTGCTCTGTTTTATTAACTTTTTACACAAAGTCATATTTTATAATCATGCAAATTAAAAGCACTTTACTGTAGGGTGTATTCTGTAATGAATGCTGGAAAAAAATGACCTATTTGGAAGTGAATCACATTACAAATTCATATAACTCAATTTTCAGAATCCATCTCATGCATACTAAACAGGAGCAAAAGAGCAAATTCAAGAAAAAAGAAAAATTTGTAATAGCAGAAAGTAAGACTCTTTGCTTGGCATATATTTATTATTCCCAGAGCAACAAGTCTAGGAATCAACTTTAGCTTCCATTTTTAGAAAGATGCTGTGTTTTAAAACTAAAATAGTAAATACTACTGTGCCTGTTCTATGCAGAAAATAATCATAAGCAAAACAGCATGTGATTTCCCAGAGAAGCACAAGTTCAGAGTCACGGCATACTGAGCTGGAGATTGGATTATACACTCGTTTCTTAATCGTCTCAATTCCTTAAAGCAAACACTTGTACAGAAATGAAATACAGGTTTCTCCAGCGGCCTTCAGAAGAGCAAGGCTCCTGGTGTTTTGAAGCAGGATCCTTAACAGCAGGTACATTTAGCATGTCTTTACATGATAGCTTTCAAGAATACTTAAACAACAAAAACACATTTTCTGAAGTTGCTATTGATCAGGCATTTAAAGCATTCACTTACCTGAAATGCAGACAGGTAGCAAGCGGAATTTCCAAAAGCACTTCAAGGTTATGGTTAAAATTTGTTTTCTCTTTCACTTCCACCTCTTTGCAGAGTGTCTCTTCAGGGCGCTTGCAACTTGGATGATTTGGGGAAAGTTTCTGCATTTCCAGCTTAACAGCTACTACAATAAAGGCTACTTCATGGCCATTCATTCATGGGCATCATCTTTTTGTTCTTTTTCTTGACTGATTTTCCCAACCTCTACAGTTCCCCTTGCTCCTTCTCCATGCCTGATCCAGCTGGAGTCCCCCCTCCCACACTTGCAGCTCCTGGAAATCATTGGGAAGAGCTCAGGTGTCCCATATTGGTGCTTGACCACAGGCCCAGCTGCAGACAAGCTTCACAGCAGCCCCTCAAATGAGCCACCCAGAACAACAGGCATTACCTGAAAGGGTAGGCGAAGGCTATGTCGATGTTGAGGTCACTCTCCGACTTGTTGGCACAGTCCACACTGACGCGCAGCCCTCCAGAGTACCCACCGCATGTTGCAAATGCAAAGATGGCAAAAAGCTGCCAAAAAACAACAAAACATTTATTTTATTGCAACAACCCATCACACAGGGTGCCCGTCCCACCTGCTTCACTTGCCTTACCAGCTTGAACTCAAGCAGGAAGATCTTAAAGGTGTCATACGGACAAATATTTTCTCAAATGCATCATGAACAGAGTTGGGTAGGACAGATCTTGTTCTGATATTTTATAGCTAAAAACCTGATTTCCTCCAAGATCTACAGTGGTGTGAACCCAGGAAGTGAAAGGTGAAACAGGGGAAAAAATGTAGCAAGTAAATGGAAAGGCAAGTGAATGATATGGACAGATGAAAGGAAACACATCCAGATGCTGCACAGGCACCACAGGAACACAGTTACCCTGAGCTCTGCCAGTCCCAGCACAAGCTGGGAGCATCACTGTCCTACTCAGACTTTGCACGTGCATCGTTTCCTTGCAGGTTGCCCAGTCTGGGGACAATCCATGGGCATTTGGGACAGGGATGGCTGCAGGGTGTGACGGAACAGAGCAAAAGGGCCAGGGCTGCATGGAAGGTGAGCAGAAGATGCACAGAAGAGCAGAGCTGAACCGCAGGTCCAGGAAGGGTCAAGCAGCTCAGCCTCGCATCAGGCACAAGCAGCAACTGCCAGGGAATGGGCCTGAACACGAATTCCTCTGGCATCTGGTCTCAGACCTTCGCTTTGCTGCTCATTATCGGTTCTGTAGAGCCCGCTGTGCCAGAAGCCCGAGTCCATCACTCCTCTCCTTCTAGCAAACATGCTAAAAATAAAGCCCTTGGTCTCCCAGATGGGCTTTCCTGGCAGGCAGAACTTGTAACACTGCATCCATCTCCATGTATCATGTCCCACATCTGTCCCCAGCTACCCACACCCCACACAATTCCAGCACAACCAGCACATTTCACTTGGGGATTGATTTGCAAAGGTGCTGAGGCACCCAGTGATACAGAAAGATAAGAAAAATACTAGATAAATCACTTCCTTACACCAGCCTTGCTGGCAGAATGAGCAGGTACCAGGAAAAATGAGGTTTGCTATAAATTATCTTGTTAAATATTTGCCCTGACATAAGTATTTCTGCCATAATTTGAACAGTGTGCCTTCATCCTAAATGAGACTTAATCATTTCATTTGCAAATACAAGGAGCTGTTCTGCCCTTACACGGGCAACAGCACCAAAAATTGGAATTAATCATCCCAATTTAATTTGTGAGGCACGGTCAGAAAACAACATATTAAGGAGTACAGGGGAGATTGGCACTGACCTGCTTTCTGTCCTAACTAATGATGTGGCAAACGCAAGCCTTTTGCAGAGGCACAGGGAGCCACAAAGATTAATACATTGCAATAAATAAAGCAGGCACTGAAGGGCGCAACGCCACAAACCAGTGGCCACGTCTTCCTTCGCCCATCAGCCTCAGTGCTCAACAGGGACACGGGCTGAGGAAGACAATGCTTTGCAGACACATCTCTCCCGATGAAGTAACGGGTGTGAGGATAAGCCCATGCCCCTAAGCCTAAGGAGCCACTGTTACATAAGGACTGGAGGACCTTCATCAACCCAGCTGCTGAAAGACAACACAGAGATGAGATATACCCAAATTTGCACCTTTTCCTCTCCTCTTTTGAGAGCAGACTCAGACAGCTGAAACCTCAGCATCTCAGGCAGCTTAGAACAAGCCTGTGCTCACCCCTGTGCCCAAAGGCTTCTCAGCTGCCTTCACCCTCAGCAATCCCTCCTTCCTCTCCAGCCACAACAACCTAGACTGGTCACTGCTTTTGAGCCCCACCAGAAGCTCTGCCCACAAGCACCTTCAGAACAAGGGAAAGGGAGAGTGGAGGCCGCTGGAGACCTTTATACCCAACCTCAGCAAGGGCTTGGCCAGCCCAGTTTGGCTCCAGGTGCTGCTAACGGCTGCCCACATTTCACCTGCACAGAAGTATATTTACATTTTGCATTGCAGGAGAGAAGAGTGACATTATAAACTTCTGCTATTTCGCTGGAGTTTCCTGGCAAAGTAGCAGATAATTTTTCTCTTGCCCAAGTAACCTTCATCCTCCTAGCTCTGCATGTATTTTGTTTTTAAGTTTCATTGCTTTATGTTGTTGGTTGAGTGCTTGCTGCATTAAGCCAAGATTTACTCGCCGTTTTGTGCGTGCCGTAATTCTGTGGCAGTTGCAAGAATGTTGTAAACACCACTGTATTTTATTACAGCAGGATTTGTGTAAATGGCAGTTGTAAACCTCATAATGGGAGCTTTATGGGCCAAATTCAATAAAACCTCCGTCTGAGAGGTAATTTTATTGAATGTGGCCTTTCCGAAATTGAAAAGTTTATGGAAAAGAGAGAAAGCGTTTCCCTATGTTCCTATTTATTCCTTGCCTATAAATCTCCACTTAGCGCTCGTCCCGGCTGCACTGTGCATGCATATTGCTTTCCCCCTTCACCATGGATAAATCTTAGATAAATCAAAAGGCATTTGACACGTCTTTAACGAGGCTGCGTGTCTCTGAAGGCAGCAGTGTCCTCCTGAGCAGTGATCAAAACCCCAGCCCTGCTTGTGCCGTGGTGCTACTCCCGCTGCGAGCTCCCAGCCTTGGCTACATCTCTGTAAGTGAAGGTGGGTCTTGCAGTATCACTTCACTGATAAAAACAATATTTACCACGGTCCGGTATAATAATAAATAGTGTTGGCTGTAGAAGAGGATTAGAATGTTATAAAGATCAAATAAACTACATAACAATTTGAGAAAAAAATATAATTTCCCACTGAGCACGTGCTCCACTTCAGGGCGGACAAGGATCCATGGTATGATATATCAGATGGCTTGGGGGCCCAGCTCCTTCTCTAATGCCAGCTTTGGAGGTGGTGAATCCTCTAATTCTGTGCTCAGGAGCCGCTCGTCACCCAGGGACAGGGCTCGCAGCAATAGGTGCACGTATTTGCACTCGTGCATCAGCTCCACGCTCCCTTCATTTGAGCTGCCTGTGGAACCCGGCTCCTGATCCAAGGCTGTCCCTTCATTTACAATCCTAACACCCTCCTCAGCAAAAGGGCCCTGTGCAAGCGGAGCCCTGGAGAAGTTTAAATCCCGGCTGTGCATTAGACGGTTGGCAGTATCTTGGCGCACGACCCTGGGCATCACTCATCCCACCACGTAAGAGAAAAATGGGACGATTTCCTATCACATCCATGCGCTTGGCGTTCAGACAATTCCCCTCAATGCCTTCTGCGCGACAAGCTCAGGTTAGGAACCCGTGGAAGGCAGAGCCGTTTGTGACAAGCCGAGCTAAAAGGCTTATGTAGAGCATGTTGCAGCTAAAACATCCTGTTAGGAAGATAACACTGTCATTTAAAATCGATGAAACTTTTATATAAGCCAGGAGCGCTTCCCAGGAGCATGTTTCCCTCTTACAATCCATCGATCCTGCACTCCAAGTCCCCAGGCAGGAAGGCAAACTCCCATCTCATCTGCTCTTGGATGTGTCTCCATCGTAAGAAGCATCCTGATAATCCTGCCTCAAGCTGCCAGGGCAAAGGCAGGTTGTGAAGGACCTGTGGGTCGGGAAGCACGTTGGCCTTCAACACTTCTGCTTTGGGCTGAGAGAGGCAAATTGGAATTAATCTGTTGAACACCTTCCTAGGAAGGCTCTGCCCCCTTCCTTGCTCAATACCCAAAAGCCAACGGGAACATCTGACATTTCTAAAGAGCAACGCGAAGCATCTGAAATATTTAATCATTTTTATTAGCTCCTTTACACATTCAAAATGCTTTACAGACAGACATTTTTCTGGCACAGTTTGCATCAAATATCTCTCGTTCTCCAAGCTCTTCCTAAAAAAGAGACGGCAACCGTTTGCCAAATGTAATATTGTTTTACACTGTACCCCATGTGGGACAGGAGCATGCAGGGCTGGGGAGCGCTCCAAGCACCCTGGGGACATCACCCTGCAGCCCACATCCCTTACTGAGCACCTCGTTAAACTCAGATCATTTATTTTTAGAGCGGAACCAGTGACTGAACATTATTATTAAGACTGTAAAGGGAGATTTGGAAACACTAAATGACTGTACGGGAAAACATTTACTGCCGAGCCAACGGCCTCAAATACGTGAGCAGTGAGAGATTAGGAAGCACTCTCTCCTCCAGGTTTCTTTTTTAGATCCTGGCATTTTTCCCGTGCAAATCCAAGCTGCAGACTTCCTGGAACCACTGCTCCTCCACACAAGCCTTTGCGCATGGGAGATTATCAGATTATTGACTTTGGGGTTCCTAATCACATCGAGTCGCCTGGTTGATAAATGGGCGCTGGGCAGCAGTGGGGCTGGGGGTACCAAGGCCATGGCAGCCATGCAGGCACACTGAAATACCCCCTCCTCCTGTGAGAAATAAAGTACAGAGCAAGTGCCCACTAACTGTGGGGATTTATCATGCACCTTTAGAAGTAAAGAGCAGTCTTGCAAAGAGCCATCCTGCCTGGATCTACTCAGCGTGGATGGGAAAGCATCACTGTGCAGGATGAGGATGAGCATCTTGGAGTCTGGGCTTGAAGGACCACCCAGTCCCTGCCCGGGGCTGGTGTCCAGCTGTGCAGTCGCCAACCCAACAGGACCTACAGTCTAACATGGACCACTGAGTGAGTCCATCAGCGCCCATCAGAGATCAGCCTGAGCTGGGACACACATGGCTCTGGCTCAGCAGTGACCCTGGCCTGCAAAAACACAATTTCTGCCCTAAATTGGTGTCAGCTCAGTAGGAAGGATGGGAAAACAGCAGCTATGCTGTGACATTCTCATCCCATCCACTGCCCACAGCTTCAAGCCTCCCCGTTGCCCGTTACAGCTCCCCAGCAGAAAACGGCCCTCGATGGTGCTGCTGGCCTGGAAAGCCCAGACCCCGGCAGGGAAGGTTTTAGCTCTCCATGGCAGCAGTAGTCCTGCAACATCATCTGTTTAAAGCACATCATTTCATTTAATGCTTTGCATGTTTTAAAATGA